GGTAAGGGTCGACACGGGTTATCCAATCCACAGCACATTCCCACATTCCAGTCCTTGAATCCAACGGTATTCTCTCTCTTCCTCCGTCCAGATTCAGGATCTCCTGGAACAAATCGTACACGCACGTGGTCCCCTGTCGCCCGAGTGTAGGGCAAGAGTGATGCAGTAGAGCATTTTATTGATCAGGAACTCCTCAACCCTCCACCCATACATGAGTAAATCCACTCTAGAGACGAGTGATTATGATTTTTACCAATTATCTGTGCCACCTGTCAGGTGGCATGCGTCGGGTAAATTGTAAGGTATTCGTACACATTTTCGGCCCCTCTTCTGGAGGAGGTGGATGGTGCGAGACGGAGAGATGGAGGAGGTAGATGAATCAGAATGGTGAATAGGTGGATCGAGAAGGAGTGGGTTACTGGGTTACTGCTCTTAACCTTGAAGTGAGTGTAAGCGCATTTAAAGTGTACCCGAATGTGATCTTAGCAATCCAGGAGGAAATGAGTTAGAGGGTAGTAGCTAGATGTGAAAGAATTGATCCTTTGTACTTAAGGACTTCCCAAACAAAGTTCTTAGGAAAGTGTGCATGAAACAAATGGATAGATATGGATTGGATGGAAGTATTACAGCAACACTGCTTAGAGCGTAACGAGTCTGCGTGTGAGCTGTAACAAAGCAGGAGACGAGCCCAAACAAGAGACAGCCCTTCAGTCTTATGGAGCCCGTCGAGCATCTCCCAACAACTTGACCCACACTCTTGACCGATGATCCACTCGGAGGCAAAACTCAAGCCTGCCCAATACCTCCCTCCCCTAGCCTATTTTTCAGGCTTTGCCTTGAAGCACCCACTGGAAGCGTAGAAATCCGTTCTTTAGAGTCGTATGCGACCTCCAGGAACATTTTAGCGGTAGGGGCTATTGTGAAGAGAACAATGGTTGGAAATTGTCCAAAGTTAGAATCCTTTCATTCTTCGGCAGTACTGAGTCACCGTGACTATAGACATCCATACCCGAAACCATTCACTTCGAACGCCTAGAGTTGCCAACCACTTAAGGGGGTAACATGACGTCCCCTTTTGGATCGCTGACACCACTAAGGCACACCACGTCTTCTCTGAGATCGTAAAAGGAGGTTATTATAGATCTAATGGATAATTTTCCTCCAAGATGGAAGTCCAGTCTGCCAGCTAGACCAACTTTACATTAAAACAAATATTGCATCATAGAGCAGTAATTTAGTTTGATAAAACTTTGTCCTGTTGCATC